GCATCACCTGTTATGGACAGATCTGCTTCAGTTCGTTAAAAGCTATAAGCCAAAAGATACAAGACAAACTCATCATGATAATGTACTTTAAAATCTTTTGGGAACATATGAAAAAGAAGATATCCATGTGTGACGAGTGTGCTTATTGCGAAACCCAATGTTGTCGAACGTAAAGTGTTTTATCAGAAAAGGTAATGAAAGAGATAAATGTGTCATGATCCAGGCTTCTCCAAATGTAGTTGAACTGCAAAAACCAGATTTTACTCCAAACAATGTATTTGAAAAAAATCAGGAAAAATATTGTGTAAAAGTTCTGTCTTCCAAACATTTTAAGAAATAACAAATAATTGTCGAGTTCTGTGCTTGTGTGAATTTGGAATAATTAAGTAAAATTTATTTTTGATTATTAAAACTCATAAAATGCAAGCTTTAACATTCAGTAATTATCATAAATAAAACTGCTCTGTTGTTCAAAGCTTTCAATTGTTTTTTTAACATTTCATTCTATAAATTAGTTTCAGGTATTTTGTAAAATGCCTTTCAATTTTTCCCGGCATTTTGTAAAATGCCTAGACACATTAGTCATTATGTAAAATCCCTGAATCTTTTTACAAAATGCCTAAAGTTTTAAAGCATTTTACAAAATGCCTTAATTTAGAAAATGCCTGTAACATATATATATATATCTATGTTATATTTTTATGTATGAATGTTAACTGTATACATGTATTTTGTCGAGTGCCTCAATGAAAATAAGACTACTTCTAATTGAAATATTCTCTTTAAATAAAGAGTTTATAACAATAATAATAATAATTATAATAATTATTATAATTATGCCTGTATCATGACTACTCTAAATGATGATCTCCACGACGGTACCATAACCTTCCCGTAATGATGACTTGCATGCCGGTATCATGACGTATCCTAAATGATGATCACCACGACGATAACATAACCTTCCCGTAATGATGACTTGCATGTCGGTATCATGACGTACCCTAAATGATCATCTGCACGACGGTACCATAACCTTCCCGTAATGATGACTTACATGCCGGTATCATGACGTACCCTAATGATGATCTGCACGACGATGACATAACCTTCCCGTAATGATGATTTGCATGTCGGTATGACGACGTACCCTAAATGATGATCTGCACGACGATAACATAAAGTGTTACTTGGCCCGTCTCACTGGGCTCTACGGTTACCCCAAGTGTTTATACAAGCTAAGCTTGGTGTAGATGTGCCTTTACCTTCCTACTATGTGTCAATCCCATCTAACCTCGTCAGGTCCTAAATTTTTGGCTCCTTGCAGTAAGAGAGGGATGTACTCGAAGTAGAGGCTGAGAGTACCCAACTGTGACCCTTGTGTCATATATCCCTTCGGATCCCTCGGTGCTGTACCAGTACCCTCACGACAGGCTGGGAAAACCCCCTAGTTCTAAAGGGCAATTACGCAACACCCCCCGCCACCTTAAAAAGGAGGAACTATAGCATGTATATTTCCGACAAAGAACAACAACTCCCCAGATGAAGACTGGCAGCGTCTTTTATTAACTCAACCATGACACAAGGTAGCTAAAATATCCACACCCCTAAATCCTGGATATTGGGAAAATTAAATAAAAATAATCTGTCCCTAAGAAAAAAAAATAATTACCCATATAAACATAAGTATACAAATGACAATTAAAGCATTCATTATTCCAGTATTTTAATAACCACGTCTGGTATCTCTCCTGTTACCTGAATCAAACCTCTGCCCACGTCCTCGGCCATTATAATAACGTCTAGGCGAATAATTTGAAGACCTGTTGTCTCGATTAGTTGACTTAGAACTTGGACTGGTTGTTGGTTTGGCTGATTTTTCCTGAACTAAACTGGTGACTGTGGAAATCAATTTATCCTTGTATTCATCCATCCTTGAGAGAAGGGTGTCCATATTGGATTTGAAACTTCCTACACCATGAACTACTGGTGACTTAGCTGACTTGTCCATAGGAGACTTCTCTGTTTCCTTCCCAGGTTTCGTAATAGCATTTACTGCTTTCCTAGTGTGCTGACACCATCTAATCATATCTAAAGCAGCATCCATGGTCCAGGCTTTGATATACAGGCCTCAGTTCATGTCACCTCATCATTGAAACCATGACAAAATCTCATGATAGCCTCTTCAGTCATTAGTTGTTCACTGTACCTGCTTTAGGCTCTACTTGCGAGAGACAGCACTCTTTCAGACCACTCCTCCAAGGGCTGCTCTTCTCCTTGGGCACTTGTCTGGAATTGAACCTGTGAGGTTTGTCAGTTCCTGAAAACCGAATCTCTTGTTCATCATGGATATGATGTCAGTTAAACTCGCTGTTTTGTTATTCTCCAGGAGTAAGATGTAGTATTCACTGTCCGAATCTTCTAAACACCAGCATAGCTGTTCCCTCTTCTGCTCGGCCGTCCACTCAGCAATTCTAGCACAACCAGAAAACTTAGTATAAAAGGCTTGCCAGTTACCTTTCCCACTAAAACGGAGCGTTCTTGGGATCAAGGACAAATATTGCCTTTTTTTCAATTTTCTCCTTCTTTTTCTTACATCCCCGACTGCTTTAAGAATGTCGCCCATCTGTGTCAGACTCTGATTGCGAGTCATTAGAACCTCTGGACCTTCTAGGACTATGTCGACTATGGTGTGCTGGAGAACACTTTAAACTCCTTATTGGCGAGAAGTCTCGATGTTGATTCTCACCAAAAAAAAATACCAGTTGTCAGGATTGACAGTAGTTACTTACAATTTTGGATTGATGCCAAGATGGCGTTCTTACCCCTGCAGGACCAAAGTTTAAACCACCCGCAACTACCAGTAAAGTGTTACTTGGTCTGTCTCGCTGGACTCTACGGTAACCCCAAGGATTTAAACAAGCTAAGCTTGGTGTAAATGTGCCTGCCTTGTCATGTCCTAAATCTATGATTCCTTGCCTTGCTCGTTCCGCAGTAATAGAGTGATGCATTCGAAGTAGAGGCTGAGTACTCAGCTGTGACCCTTGTGTTATGTATCCCTTCGGATCCCTCGGTGCTGTACCAGTACCCTCACGACAGGCTGGGGAAACATTACACAACAAACATAACCTTCCCGTAATGATGACTTGCATGCCGGTATCATGACGTATCCTAAATGATCATCTGCTCGACAATAACATAACCTTCCCCATTGTTCCCTAAATGATGACTTGCATGCCAATATCATGACGTACCCTAATTGATGATCTGCACCACGGTAACATAACCTTCCCGTAATGATGACTTGCATGCCGGTATCATGACATAACCTCAATCATGATCTGCAGGACGATAACATAACCTTCCCGTAATGATGACTTGCATGTCAGTATCATGACGTACCCTAATTGATGATCTGCACCACGGTAACATAACTTTCCCGTTATGATGACTTGCATGCCGGTATCATGACGTAACCTAAATCATGATCTGCAGGACGATAACATAACATTCCCGTTATGATGACTTGCATGTCAGTATCATGACGTACTCTAAAAAACGATCTGCACGACGATAACATAACCTTCCCGTAATGATGACTTGCATGCCAGTATCATGCCGTATCCTAATTGAAGATCTGCAGCACGTTAACATAACCTTCCCGTAATGATGACTTGCATGCCGATATCATGACGTATCCTAAACGATGATCTGCACGACGATAACATAACCTTACCGTTATGATTCCTTGCCTTGCTCGTTCCGCACTAATAGAGTGATGCATTCGAAATAGAGGCTGAGAGTACTCAGCTGTGACCCTTGTGTCATGTATCCCTTCGGATCCCTCGGTGCTGTACCAGTACCCTCACAACAGGCTGGGGAAACATTACACAACAAACATAACCTTCCCGTTATGATGACTTGCATGTCGGTATCATGACGTATCCGAAATGATCATCTGCTCGACCATAACATAACCGTCCCGTAATGATGACTTGCATGCCGGTATCATGACGTACCCTAATTGATGAATTGCACGACGATACCATAACCTTCCCGTAATGATGACTTGCATGCCGGTACCATGACGTACACTAGATGATGATCTGCACGACGATAACATAACCTTCCCGTAACAATGACTTGCGCGACTTTACCATAACTACCAGTAATGATGACTAAGTCTTGTGTGACTTTACCATAACTACCCATAATGATGACTAAGTCTTGCGTGACATTACCATAACTACCCGTAATTATGACTAGTCTTGGCCGACTTTACCATAACTACCTGTAATGATGACTAAGTCTTTCGCGACTTTACCATAACTACCCGTACTGATGACTAAGTCTTACGTGACTTTACCATAACTACCCGTAATGATGACCAAGTCTTGTTCGACCAGTATCGAAATATTGTCGTCTCAGCAATTACCTCTTTGTTATAATTAACTGCACGACAGTAAAAAAAATAACATAGTACTGCACAAAGGTCCTTAATTCATTCCCGTATTGAGGTATTGTATAACAGGAAAACAATCGACCTATGGCCTATGCTGGTTCTCAACTGACTACTACACTTTGTTCTTAGAGCGCACCTTAACTACAAGCGGATTCCAGTTTACATCTAGCCATATGCTGGTACTACACACAACAAAAACAGTATCTACACGTATATTGGGGTAATGCAAGTTGGTACCATAACCTGGCTGTAATTATTTTCCTATTATTGCTCTTAGCTTTTTAAATATCAGTCAAATACTGCTGCAGTTTTACCCTTTCTTCTATTTCAAGCTATAGCTTTCATGTTTGTTGACAAATCGATTAAAATCTCTGACACTATTTATAAACTAAGTACCACAAGGAACATTCACACAAAGATTGGTTCAAGTCTTAAAGTGGTTTCATGGAAGTGGTTTTTCAAAATTTTTACACTGAAGAACTACAAGTGATGGCAATAGCTCATTGGCCCTCTGTTGATTTATAACACAACAAAATAACACCTTTCAAAATGTTTTAATTATATAAAATAAGATTCAGATCTTTGTAAGCACAATTATTTAACCACAGCACCATAACATTAGTAATATTCATAAATTAATATTAAAACTCAATATAATGATTTTCTAATGTTACTGTATATATCAGTGGCGGATCCAGAAATTTTGATAAGAGGGCCCACTGACTGCTTAAGAGGGGGCCCGCTCTAGTCATACTTCAGTGATTCCCTATATAATCAACCAAATTTTTCCACAAAAGGGGGGGCCCAGGCCCCCTGAAAAACCCTCTAAATCCGCCTCTGTATATGAACAGGTATCAAATCAAAGCGAATGCACATGATATTAGTTATAAGGTGAATACAATATGCGAGATATCTAGAATTTCATGTAAAATGAAACGAAACAAATAGTTAATAGTAGTTCAACTGATGTCAAAGGGAAATAACTCAAAGTCACAGATGTGCTATAAAAATCATGTAAAATAAAAACACTTAACAAAAACAAACACTCATCAGGTTCATGAATTATTACATAAAAAATTATATACTAATTTCAACCTACTTTCAATTCTTTATTACTTTGAACAATACAGTTCATCAGTATAGTATGCATAAATATACAATTTACAAGTTGTATAGCATTAACAAAAACAGAAATAATAAATGTCAGAAATATCAGTCACATTTGTTAAACAGTTTGTGAGTTTCAAAATACATATAATATAAACATGTCTTAAATATTGTTTCTGCACTTAAACGCATAGAGTAAGTACTTTCCAAAATTACAAAGTTCCTTTAAGTTAGTGTTTTCAACAGAAAGTAATTGTACTAGTTTATAACCTATTAGATAGTTATTAACTTGAAAAAAAGGCCTCCTTATCCTGGTGCAATCATTTTATAAGAATAAAATTTCCTGCAACAGTCTTTTCTAGAAACCTTCATCTACTTAACATGAAGATGACAGATTGGTGTTTAACGTCCAGTGGCAAATATAACATGAATATCAAGATGAAGAACATGTCTATGTGATATGAATATGAACCCTTGTCTTGTACTAGAACAGACATGATGAGCTGGATTTTAAATGTCCTAGTTCAAAAAGTATGTGCTTAGCAGAGAAGCTGCAAATGCCAATTCTTACGTCTTTGGTTTGATCTGGACAGGGATCAAACTCATAACTTCAAGCACTCCAGTGTTCTCCCCAGGGCCTTTTACCATCATGGTAATGTGATGCTATCTGAGATTATTATGTTATAGATTGTGTTATGGATGTGATGCTATAATTTCTAGAAATAAGATGGTATTTTAAAATTCCCCTGTTTACCAGGATGCTATATGAAATTTCTGGGGAGAACACTGCACTCAAGACGAGCAAGCTTTCACAAGACCACTTGGGCAACTCCACTCAACAAGAAACGATTACTTCTATCTAAATATTCACTCAATAAATGATCAACAGCTAAACATTACTTTTTATATAATATAAATTCTTTTTTTAAGTTTCATTGGTTAAAGGTTTACCATGCATTTCTTTATTTAACAAAAAAATATTTTTCTATTAGCTTATTTACAAAATTTGTTTAAATCATGAAAACAAGTATCCAGGATAATGCTACTTTGCAATAATCAATTAACACTGATACCCAAGAAAATAAATTAATCAATAGTCTCTAAAATGAGCTTACACATGTAAAAATGATTTTTTTTCCACAACCAAATGATAATGATAATGATTGGACTACAGAAAAAAGACAATAAACATGTCATGATCTTATTGAAATATTGTGAATTCAGAAATTTGTGTGTGCATTTAATACTGCGATTCTCAAACAATGGACAATAATGCAAGATTATTTTTTGTGATTTCAGGAGATACAAATAATACTATAAGTTTTTAATGCAAGTGGTCTCATCTTTGTTAAATCTATCCCATTGCATTTTTTTACATTAATAAAAAACATCACAAAAATTTCTGAATTTACAGTAATTATATTACCAAGGTACAAAAGCTTCTTAGAGCTAAGGAGGCTAATGTAAACAATAAGTTATAATTGTTGACAGATGCAGGTAGACAAAATAAACATCATCTTCAACTGAGAAACCAGTTTATTGAAAAACAATAACTGTGTCCATAGTACACGGATGCCCCACTCGCACTATCATTTTCCTAGGTGGGGCATAAAAATGCAATCTGATTGAATTACAGATCCTATGTTCTTGTTTCGCTTACAAGGATATCACAACACTCCAGTCTACTTTCTGTTTCAAAGACCTTTCGGAATCTTCTGGTTTTGTTGTGATGATACACACCATAACATATTTGAAGGCTGAAATCTCATTGGCTGATGTAATAATTGCCAGGACAGAAAGTAGAATGAAATGTTGTCAGCTCCTTGTAAGACACAAGATCTTTATCTTAATCTGATTAACAAAAAAATATATGACATCAGAGTTACATATGTGTGATTTTGGGGTAAGAAGTAATTATGGTCTTTCTCCAATAAAAAACATATTTTGTTAAATTTATTTCTCTAAATATTATACAAAAAAATTGAAAGTCAAGACATAAAACCGGCATCATTATCACTCTTTAACAAAATTCTAGATTTGCTAATGAATTTCAGGCAAGATTAAGCAGATACAATAAAAAAAAATGTGTTTGCAAATCACATAAATCAGACTGTCAAGATACATATTCACAACTTACAGATAACCACAACACTACAGTAAAAATCCCCATCATTATTTAGATATAAAAATAGAAACATGCAAAAAAACAATAATAGAATTTGTCATATCTGTAACAAAATAAATGTAAAAGTTAAAGTACCATGTAAAAAGGTAAAGACATGAACACATGTCCTGAGCAGGAAGATTCTGAATTAATACAATAAATAATGAGGGGGTGACATGAGGTGCTCATTCAACAATTCCCGCATTTTTATAATTTTTCCCACTTCCCCTTTTGCTTCCTTCTTTTTCCCAGATCCCTCTTTTTTATATCCTATATCCCACATTTCCACTTTTTTACCTCCGAAAGCCCACATTCCAAAAGCGTGTCATCCCCCCCCTCCCTCCCCTTCTCATCAATCACTACAAATGTTAATCAATACGCTTGTGACCTCTAATTAAGAGGGAAAAGATTGCTTTCAATTTGCATTTAGATTTTGAAATTACAAGATTAAAAATTTATTGAATTTCCCTTTGTCCATAAAATTGTAGATGGAACAGATAAATCATACACCATGCACTACTTTTTGAAATAATTACGATTTTATATAAACAGTTTCCTTAACTAATATTGTAATACACAAATACATGATCATAAAATGGACATCTGAGCACATTATTTTAATAAATTGCTTGACATGGCCATGGCTAGCTGCGGAACCGTAGCTCTTAGGTCCTTATGATATTTTTTGACTATTTGCCGACCATAGAGCTACCGATTATTTCTTTTTCAAAACGTTCGGAATTGTGACCCAGGTTCAGGTCGCACTTATTTCCCAAAAGTTTATTGGTTATCATCCATGCATAGCTTGTCAATGTATATAGTTCGTTTCGATAGATATTTTTCTAGGATTTGGCGTACCTATTTATGTTTGAATATTGATTTCTTTGAAGCTATTATCTAATTATTTCCTTTTGTATACATTCTGCACCTATTTTGTCTATTGAATCTCGTTCTAACGTCAGATCCCAGATTAAGCAAAGAGACCCAGGGACATTGTTTTATTCTTCCAGTGTTTTCATTGGATAAAGAGGAATAACGTTCTAAAATAACATTCCCAAGCCCCTGGGATTTTTGGTGGCACGACAGCTATCTCTGATGGAGTGTTTTGGCAAAATACCAATAAAATGCTCCGCAGGGCGCAGCTTGATACGACCGCAGAGGTCGAACCCTGAACAGTTGGGGCAAGTATGGACACAACATTCAAGCTTGATACAGCTTTGCATTTGGATTGTGATTAAATATTTGACACAGCATAGGTTTCTGACACAGAATGAATGTGGTCTAAGAACTTAAAAATTTTAAATTGGACATTCACCTATTATGGTCTAATATCCAAAATCTAAATACATGGTTAGATTCAGCATATCAAAGAACCCCAAGAATTCAATTTTTGATGAAATCAAACAAAGTTTAATTTTGGACCCTTTTGACCTCAATGTGGACAAAGTTGATAACGGGGCCCAAAAATCAAAAATCTAAATACATGGTTAGATTCAGCATATCAAAGAACCCCATATATTCAATTTTTGTTGAAATCAAACAAAGTTTAATTTTGGACCCCGATTTGGACAAACTTGAAAACTGGGCCCATAATCAAAAATCTAAATACATGTTTAGATTCAGCATATCAAAGAACCCTAAGAATTCAATTTTTGTTAAAATCAAACTAAGTTTTATTTTGGACCCTTTGGACCTTAATGTAGACCAAATTGAAAACGGAACCAAAAATTAAGAATCTAAATACACGGTTAGATTCGGCATATCAAAGAACCCAAATAATTCAATTTTTGATGAAATCAAACAAAGTTTAATTTTGGACCCTTTGGACCTCAATGTGGACCAATTTAAAAACTGGGCCCAAAATCCAAAAACTAAATACACGGTTAGATTCAGCATATTAAAGAACCCCAAGAATTCAAGAATAAAACCCCACTGAAATTGGTCAAGAAATAAGCAATTTATACGAAGTATCTTCTTTTGCACAATACTGTGCAATTAAATATTTCTTGCTATTGCGCAATACTGTACAATTGACAATTTCTTGCTATTGCGCAATATTGTGCTATTGGATATTTCTTGCTATTGCGCAATACTGTGCAATTGAAGATTTCTTGCTATTGCGCAATACTGTGCAATTGAAGATTTCTTGCTATTGTGCAATACTGTGCAATTGAAAATTTCTTGCTATTGCACAATACTAATTATATAATAATTTACACATCCTGTTTGGTGTGTATCTCCTACCATATCATTATTATTTGCTTTTAAATATAAATCAGAAATAACCAACTTAAAATGGAAAATTTTAAAAGAAAAAAAAAAGGAAAAAAAAAAAATCCCCCCCAAAATTTTTTGAAACCCCTTATGATTTATCACCCCCAAACTTAATCCTCACCTTCCCTTTGTAGTATGGTACCTTGCAGTACAATTTCAGAGAGATCCATACACTTGAACACAAGTTATTGTCTGGAAACTAGAAAAATGTGTTTTTTGGCCCCTTTTTGGCCCCAAATTCCTAAACCTTTAGGGCAATTACCCCCAAACTCAAACCCAGCTTTCCCTTTGTGATATGGAACCTTGTAGTACAATTTCAGAAAGATCCATACACTTACACACAAGTTATTGTCCTGAAACTAGAAAAATGCTTGTTTTTTGCCATTTTTTGGCCCCTAATTCCTAAAATATTGAGGCAATTACCCCCATCATCAATCCCAGCCTTCCCTTTGTGGTATGGTACCTTGCAGTACAATTTCAGAGAGATCCATACACTTGAACACAAGTTATTGTCTGGAAACTAGAAAAATGCTTATTTTTTGCCCCTTTTTGGCCCCCAATTCCTAAACGTTTCGGCAATTACCCCCAAACTCAATTCCAGCTTTCCCTTAGTGATATGGAACCTTGTAGTACAATTTCAGAAAGATCCATATACTTACACACAAGTTATTGTCATGAAACTAGAAAAATGCTTGTTTTTTGCCCCCTTTTTTGGCCCCTAATTCCTATAATTTTTTAGGCAATTACCCCCAAAATCAATCCCAGCATTCCTTTTGTGATATGGAACCTTGTGGTACAATGTCAGAGAGATCCATACACTAACACACAAGTTATGTCTGGAAGTTACAAAAATGCTTATTTTTGGCCCCTTTTTGGCCCCTAATTCCTTTACTGTTGGTACCATAACCCCCAAAATCAATCCCAACCTTCCTTTTGTGGTATTGAACCTTGTGGTAAAATTTCATAGAGATCCATTCACTTAAACTAAAGTTAGAGTGCGAAAACCAATGTGTCTTCGGACGATGCCGGACGACGACGACGACACCGACGCCAACGTCATACCAATATACGACCACAAAAATTTTTTGGCGGTCGTATAAAAATATGAAAAGCTAACAATGATAATAAAAAAAGGTAAAATACACTTTAAGGGTATCAGAGATTGTACAGATTCGATATTTTGTATATAAATACTGAACAGGACAGACAAATAAGTCCTTGAAAATTTGTCAACAAAAAATAAAAACTACAAAATTATAATGTTGTGACTTAAAACATATATATTTTGCTTTGAGTTTTCTTTAAGGTCAAATTGCTGAAGTGGTTTGGTTCAAGTGGCTTGGTACAGCACTTTCTGTAAACCACTACATTTCATTTATTTTTGGTGAATTTATCTGATTTTATGCCCATAAATGGCAATTTAAAATTTCTTAAGAAAGCACATAATTTGGACAAGTGGTTATCTCTTTTGAACAAGTTATATATCATGGTTACTTGCCCAAAGGGTACGTTGTTAAAAAAGTTTATGTCTACCTCTGACATGTATTTAAATGAATGTATGTGAAAGTACTCATCTAAGAGTTGCCAGTATCACAAATAAGTTAACTTAGTCTTTAAGTTTTACCAGGTGACAGTTTCCTTTTTTGAATATTATTATCAAAATACTGTAATTTTCTTTAAACTATAATTACAAAGTCACTGCATTTACATTAAACTAAGTGTTTTGATTCTCAAACAGTTGCAAAAATGTATGTGGTGTTCAAAAAAACTAACTGAGCAATTTACATTATAAAGTAAAGAGAATACAAAATTTGGAAAAATTAGATTGATTAAAAAAAAAAGATACAAAAGCTAAAAAAAAATATACATATTGAATTTCTTAGCACATTTTAGTTTATTTTATTATTTTAGCTTTATAATCAAGGAAATATGTAGAAAATAGTTCAATAAAAATGTAATTAAATACAAATAATGTAGTAATTTTTATCTGAACTGACATATTTCATGATCTACTATAACAAAAAAGTGCAATGCAAAATGCAAATATGATGGACTGCAGTTAGGGCTTTAATAATATAGAATTGCACATTAAAGAAAAGAATGACCATCTCTCTCTCTCTCCCCAAAAATAACAACATAATCCTGAGAACTAAAGTACTTATATCAAACCCATTGTAACATCCTTTCTTCATTCAGGTTTTAATTTTTCATCTTTAGTGACTGTTTTTATCATTTCTTTCAACTTTTTGTATCTAAGGGGAGGAAGATCTTCTTTAGATGCAATAAACTCTTGTTTTAGTTTGGTCAGTCTGTTGTGAGCTCGTAAGAATTTATTTTCATACACGCTGATCATGTGTTCCTTGCTTCTGTTATCTTCTTCTATCTCTTTCTTATGCATGTCTGAAAGATCTGAAATGGAATGAGCATTTAAAGTTGATGTCACAAGTATGAATTTCACGTGTGCCTCTTCTAAGTGTTAAGTCTTTATTGTCCCTTTGTGAAAATGAATAAAAAGAGACATGGGCTAGTTGTCAATGAGAATTCCATATTACAGAGGATTCATTATTATTCGTGGGATACCAATTTTCTTGGATTTCATGAGTATCATGAGTATAGGTTAACCAAGTGTTAAGGATGTTCGCTCCTCTTGTTTTTGAATTTTTGCCAGATTTTCAGAATCCTTTGGTTTTATCCAAGTATTGCTATTAAAAAATTTTGCCCACTAACCTCTACTTTTCTTTTCATAATTTTATTACATACAGTTTAAAAAGCCATATTTGAAAATCCTATAAAATCCTTGTTATTTTTTCATATTTTTTAAAAGAAAAAGGGTGCCAATGTTAAATGTATGAAAAATCTAGAGAAAATTATTTCCCGCCAAATTTTCAATGGCTTCTATCTCAAAAAAAACAAAACACACAGACCCTTCTTTTTTTCTGCTTTTTTAGTTCCTTTATTTATATACTATCATTTTAGAACAGTCTTTTAAAAAGCTTGTTATTTTAAAACAGAGTAGCGAACATCCGTAAATGTCAAATGACGTACAAATATTCTTTAGGTTAGTATGTAGGCTTTTGCATAACCATAAAATCAAATATCCACAAAAATACAATATTTTCACAACCCACGAATATTGGTATGTACGTAAATAAATGAATCCATATTATTTTGGTAAAGCATTCTTTCCAATTTTGTGCTAAAAAATGTTCCTATTGAATTTACATGCCAAAGCGCCCTTTTTGAGATAATCCAGCCTGACCTTTTCAAAATATTTCTTAAAACTATTCCATAATAGTAGCTGCTCAACTTCAACATGTGTGTAATCTTCCCATGAATTACAAGTACACAAAATAGGTAACAACTTTTCCTCATCCCCCCCTTCTTTCTGACATTACCAAACTATAAGCTGATTTTGATGTCATCTAACAAATGAAAATATTTCATAACACACATTATAAATCTTACTTCTTGTAACAGTTCTTGTTTCATAAGAAGAATCATCAGATTTGCCAGCAAACTGTTTACAGGTCTGTAAGAAACTAGAAGACTTTGATGCGACTGGCTGTTGCACTTGTGTTGTCCCTTCTGTACTATGAAACAGATCTGAAATTTATAAATATTAAACCAAATAAACATATAAGTAAAGTAAATTCAAAGTGATAAAGTATAAAATGGATCCTGCAAGTGATGAAAGAACCACTGTATAATAGGGTGCACTTGAATGATTTGGAGTTGTAACATTCAGGTCATCAATCCTGTCTTTTATTTTACTTAGTACACAACTGTATAATAGGGTGCACTTGAATGATTTGGAGTTGTAACATTCAGGTTAACAATCCTGTCATTTATTTTACTTAGTACACAACTGTATAATAGGGTGCACTTGAATGATTAGTTGTAACATTCAGGTTAACAATCCTGTCATTTGTTCTACATAGTACTTCACTGTACAAACAATGCAGGTAATTTGCAGGCTGTTATTTCAGGGTGAAACACCAACAATTACCAGCATACACTGGGAAAATTCACTATCAAGAGAGGTTTCTTTAATGGAATGGTCTAGTGTTGTTTGTACTAGCTGACTGTCTTCCATCAGTGATTTTGCTGGTTTTTTTCAAAACTAACCCCATCATTTTTTTTTGTTGGAAATTTCAAATAATAACTGTTCATCAATTTAATTTTCATATTTTTAAAGATCCATTCTAACTTGTCTAACCTCTGATTTGATTTCAAATCATTTCCTCTGTATATTTTTTTGAACATATCTAATATTTTTTGCTGACCTTTGGAGTCTTTGTTGCAGTTTTTTAACGTAGTATTTAGAATGGTGCAACAATCTCAATTGGAAGGGAAGTTTTTTAACGTAGTATTTTGAATTGTGCGACAATCTCAATTGGAAGGGAAGTTTTTTAACGTTGTATTTTGAATTGTGCGACAATCTCAATTGGAAGGGAAGTTTTTTAACGTAGTATTTTGAATTGTGCGACAATCTCAATTGGAAGGGAAGTATTTTAACGTAGTATTTTGAATTGTGCGACAATCTCAATTGGAAGGGAAGTTTTTTAACGTAGTATTTTGAATTGTGCGACAATCTCAATTGGAAAGGAAGTTTTTTAAAGAGGAAACAAATGGAAACATATAACAATATCTTGACAACAAAAATAATGTGTGTTACAAACAACACATTAATTCTGATCAAAATCTCAAAATTTTTCATGATATAAAAAATAACATTGGGGATGGAAACACGATAGTTATGTACATTTATAACATGTTTAACCCCACATCATTCTGTATGTCAATGTATGTGCCTGTCCCAAGTCAGAAGCCAGCTGTAATTCAGCGGTTGTAGTTTTTTGCTGAATATCATATTTGTTTCTCATTTATTATTTTGTACATAAACTGGGCCGTTACTTTAATTGTGTTACATTTTAACATTTGTCATATCAGGGACTTTCATAGCTTTGCTATGCAGTATGGGTTTTGCTCATTGTTGAAGGCCATACAGTAACATATAGTTGTTAACTTCTATATCATTTGGTCTCTGATGGGTAGTTGTCTCATTGGCAATCATACCATATCTATTTATTTTTATTTTGGGATGATTCAGAGCTAGACATATAATATAGACTTTAAAGACAACTGCCTGATGTTGAAGATGTAGCCCTCAAAATGAATTTGTTGGTTTTTGTCTTTGGGTTGCTGTCTCAATGTTGTATACATGTTTTTATTCATATAAACAAAGATAAAAACAACTAAAGACACAAACCTTTAACTCCTTTATGTTTAGGAATCTTAGGGACCTCGGCCTGTTGTATAACATGATCAGTTGTTGCTTGTCTTATCATCTGTTTTAACTGTGGGTATCTAAGTACCATGTTGTCTTTAGACTGTTCGTACTCCTGATCAAGTTGATGTATGACATCGTAGGTCACTTTGTACTTCTTCTTCAGATCGTTAAGTATCTTACATAATCTTTGGTTCTCTATCTTCAACCCATCCTTTGTCTGTGTTGAAAGTTTCTGAACTAAAATGAACATTACCATGATAAAGATTTTTTCATGGATTAAGGAAAGTGAATATTTGATTTTGTGGTTTTGCAAAGGCTAGATAAAAACCTAAAAAAATAGAAAGTTAATTAGCGCTGAATTGAACATTTAAATTCATGGTTTACCGATATTACCAACGAAATCCACAACAAAAATTAGTATCCCATGAATAATAATGAATCCACAGTATTTAACTCTTTTTCTATTTTTTCAAAAGCTCTCCAAGTGGTGATCTCTGATCAGTGACAACCGATAATCATGATCATAATTATTTTGGTTGAATAGTTGATCTATTTCAGTGTAAAATTACAAATGTACATGGTTTTATTCTCATTTGATATTAAAATTACAGGTTTGTGAACAAGTGAAATTCTTTCCTTCAATAATATGAATAACCAGCATTACCTTAATGGGGATGGGGTCATGGATCAAAGTAATTATAATTGACTGTAATAGTGTATTTTTTCAATTACATGTCCCCAATGATTCTATCAGCACAAGGCTGAGGGAAGAATGATCTTTTAATGGAACGACCTTGAGTGACCTATATATACATGTATAAATAGAAAGGTATGTATGTTAATGAGACAACAACCAAATGATCCTTTGAATAAACTTACTCTTAAATATAAACTAGAGGCTCTAAAGAGCCTGTGTCGCTCACCTTGGTCTATGTGCATATTAAACAATGGACACAGATGGATTCATGACAAAATTGTGTTTTGGTGATGGTGATGTGTTTGTAGATCTTACTTTACTGAACATTCTTGCTCCTTACTATTATCTCTATCTATAATGAACTTGGCCCAGTAGTTACAGTGGAAAATATTTTGTAAAAATTTACAAAAATTTACAAAATTTATGAAAATTGTAAAAAATTGACTATAAAGGGCAATAACTCCTTAAGGGGTCAATTGACAATTTTGGTCATGTTGACTTATTTGTAGATCTAACTTTGCTGTACATTATATAATATTCAAGATAATAACCAAAAGCTGCAAAATTTTCTTAAAATTACCAATTCAGGGGCAGCAACCCAACAACATGTTGCCTGATTGGTCTGAAAATTTCAGGGCAGATAGATCTTGACCTAATGAACAATTTTATACCATCAGATTTGCTTTGGTTTCAGAGATATGAGCCAAAAACTGCATTTTACCCTATGTATTATTTTTTGCCATGTCGGCCATCTTGGTTTGCGGGCAGGGTCATCGGACACATTTTTTAAACTAGATACCCTAATGATGATTGTGGACAATTTTGGTTAAATTTGTCTTAGTAGTTTCAGAGGAGAAGATTTTTGTAAAAGATTACAAAAATTTACGAAAAATGGTTAAAAATTGACTATAAAGGGCAATAACTCCTTAAGGGGTCAACTGACCATTTTGGTCAAGTTGACTTATTTGTAGATCATACTTTGCTGAACATTATTGCTGTTTACAGTTTATCTCTATCTATAATAATATTCAAGATAATAACCAAAAACGGCAAAATTTCCTTAAAATTACCAATTCAGGGGCAGCAACCCAACAACGGGTTGTCCGATTCATCTGAAAATTTCAGGGCAGATAGATCTTGACCTGATAAACAATTTTACCCCATGTCAGATTTGCTCTAAATGCTTTGGTTTCAGAGATATAAGCCAAAATCTACATTTTACCCCTATGTTCTATTTTTAGCCATGGCGGCCATCTTGGTTGGTTGGTGGGGTCATCGGACACATTTTTTAAACTAGATACCCCAATGATGATTGTGGCCAAGTTTGGTCAAATTTGGCCCAGTAGTTTCAGAGGAGAAGATTTTTGTAAAAGTTTACGGACGACGGACGACGGACGCAGGACGACGGACGCAAAGTGATGAGAAAAGCTCACTTGACCTTTCAGGTCAGGTGAGCTAAAAAGAAGATGGGCAAGCCGCCGGGCCCGGGGTATGATTGCCAATGAGACAACTCTCCACAAGAGACCAAATGACACAGAAATTAACAACTATAGGTCACCGTACGGCCTTCAACAATGAGCAAAGCCCATACCGCACAGTCTTAAAAGTTTATCCATGTAACATCTTTGAATATAGTTTTTATTGGTACTAACATTGATTTTGTTTTTGATACATTAAATCATTACTGCATGAACACAGTAATAAATTATATTGGTCCAACATCCTGTTGATGCTATTTACAGCACATTATACTTATATTAATTTGGCATTGCACAAGGTCATGCTTGCCCAGACTGTTTATGACATCTTCATACTTAATCTGTTGAATTTGTACTGATTGATACTTTTGCCTGGGAGAACTTTATATTTTAGTTGTAATTTGTTCTGAACTAGCTATCAGTAACCGTGAGTACTCTTAGATCAGCACTTTGTGATTTTTGTCTTTATGTTAGTTGTTTTTCATGCTTTGTGCCAATCTGACGAGTCAAGCCATTTTCAACTGATTTTTATATTTTCCTTATTTTGTGATGTCACACAAATGTCACAGGTAAGGGGAGGGTTGAGCACTCACAAACATATTTAACCCTGCCACATTCTGTATGTCCCTGTCCCAAGTTGTCTGTTTTATTTTTTTGGTTTTTGTTTGTTCTTTTATTGTAAACAAGGCCATGGGTATCCTTGTTTGACATTTTCTCATTTTTTTAAGATATATGATTTGCTCATTGTTGAAGGCTTTAGGGTGAACTATAGCTGCTTACATTCTTTGGGTTCTGGTGTATAGTTGTCTTATCAGCAATCACATCCCTTTATCTTAATATTAAAGTTTTGTTTCTTACCTTATCAACTTGTCATGATTTTTTCCTGCATGACCTTTAAACCTACTTAAGTTTTGTTTTACCTTTAACATGTTTTATTTTTCCTGAATGACCTTTAATTTGAACTTAGGTTTCCTATCTTTCCTTTTTTTGTCACAAGTTGTTCCCACAATACCTTTGAACTTACCATTGCTTGTTTCTATCATTTACTTGTCATAATTTGTTCTAAACTGACCTTTGAACTTACCCAAGTTTTTTTCTTTTATTTGTTATGATTTGTTCCTACATGACCTTTAACACATGTTTAAGTTATACTTACCTAAGTTTTGTTTATTTCCTTTACTTGTTCCCGACATTTCTCAGATCATTTGTTCTGTGCATTATTCAGTCTGAAATTAACATATAAATTAGTTTTATTGATCTTTTTTTCTCCCAACAATTTCTACATTGTAGCTAGTCATAATGTAACAGATGTTATTAATGTTTTAACAACAAAATACAATGCCTAAAGTATATGGATAGATTTGGTTAAGATACTTATCAATTCACAATAGGATTATATAGGCATCACAACAATATTACATATTTTTAAATGGCATGACCATCATTCAATATACACAATTAAATAGGGGATGCCGATGATTGTCAATTTTTTTGCTGGGACAGGAAACCTCTCACACCCTCCCTTGCCCCCTGTAATCACAGCCAGTGTCTCATTGTATTAGACAATACTTTTAAAGAATTCATAGTATATGTATTATGATTATAATACATAATTTGACCCCTTTGTGACTTGTACATCAGTCAGAGATATAACTCTATAGGGTTATTACAGAAAATAACTTGCGGGTGTTATTACAGATACTTTCATGAGTTGTCTACTCTTTATTCCTTTAATTTTCTAAATCTGCAATAACATATGTTTGTTATTTGTAAAATAAATCAAAAATATTTTAATTTATAATGGGCTCTAGGGAACTCTTGAGACTTTGCGCAGAAACTAAATGCATAGCCTTGATAATTAATTTTCTAAATAAATTAATACTTTTTTGATTAACCATGGTATATCAATGATACAAGGCTTTTAAGGGATAAAATTAGCTGTAATAACATAGCTTAGTTATTAAAGGAATGTAACCTATTATATGAGACACTTGGGACGTCTTGCTGGGAAGCTTACACAGAACCTCATTACATGCTCTGGTCATTATTTCTTACAATAAATTAAAATACATTGTAATTAAGCATGATGTATGTCTGAGAAAATGTTTTGGAGTGATATAGAGAAGCTGTGATAACACCCTTTAGTTATTACAGGCATATTTTTTTCTGTAATAACATATAGGTGTACTATGCAAAATTGGCAAACTATGAACTGTTATATCTTTCTGTAGTTAAGTATACATAAAGACAATAGTAATATCAATAGAACTTGTATGCATTTTAAATAAACTAGTGATGTATATTGTCCCTTTGAAACATGTAACATACATATGTTATCACAGATCTTTGATTTTTTAGACCACAATAACAAATGTATGTTATTTTTCTGTAATAATCCTGTAGAGTTATATCCCTGACTGTTCATGTAGTACTAGACAGTAGTTCTAAAAAAAATTCTTACTGCCATTTTTTTTTTGTGAGGCACATGGTTTTCTGGACACAAATTATTTCTCAACATGTTCTATAACATACAAGGTGATACAGGCAATATTAAATGTAGGTACAAGATTTGTTTTTAAAAGGAATGTTGTCAATTTTTTTAATAGAAACAATAACATGAATAATAAACAAACTATTTATGTATTTACTATTTACATTACTTTACTTTTTGTCTGAAGCATGTGATTTTATCATGTTTATTCAAGAAATTTAATTAAGAGTCAACTTTTTGAATTACAAATGCTCCCCATTCCCCCCTCCCCACAATCAAAACTGGTTGATGCATTACAATAAAGATTTACATATTGCATTGTTTTTGATACTAGATGTTATTGTTTTTGCTTTGTTGGTTTGCTGTCTCCTGACATAATGTATTCGCAGCATTTGTTCTTCATAGAAATAATATACATGTACCAACTTACAATATTACTTTATCATGTTTATAAGCTGAAAGGTCATTGTATTCCCAAATGAACTAAAAAATCTGATCACATTTTCATAAACACCAATTTATATGTACATGATATACACTGTGATTGTACATGTATTAACAAATGAACATCATTATTGGGGACATTTAGATTAATAGAATACCTAAATTTCCTCACAATCAATATTTATAATGGTTTTTTTCAGACAATTTTTTTCTTATACTAATCAATTTGATTAATTTTCAATTTTCATGATTTTAGGAGGAAAAAGTACAATGTATGCAACTGCAAAATTATGTATAGATGTATATGTTCTTATTTATTTAAAACATGTTTGTGCTTATTTCAGTGATCCCCAAATGTGAACCTCAAACATTAACAATAGCCATTAGATGTAATGATTTCCTGTTTCGATCAATGTTTGTTGGCGGTGTCAAATAAACTTTTCTTTACATTACATGCATTGAATATCAATTGATAGCATGGATAGTGTTGCAAAAGTTAAATGTTAAAAATGCACTTTGTGTTTGTGCAACATGTACAACAGCTTTAAATTTCCTTGTTGCAATAAAATCAATTACAACATTTGAATTAAGTAAATTATCAATTATAATTTGTCATCTGTACATTATGTCCCCTTCTTGAATATGCATGCAATATTTGCCACTGGACATTAAGTAAACAACAATTAATATTCTCAATAAATATATATGAATGTAAAAATTGTCAGTGGGATTTCAGCAAAACCTCTTATTAACAATTATTCAATTATTTTTTAAGTCATGTAATTAAGTCATTCAGGGGTAGTACTTGTTCAACATCAGCTGAACATGTTCAAGTAAATTGAATTTACTGGTGCAAAGGTAACTTACTGTAAATTCAGAAATTATTACGTGCATTTATTATTACGATTTTGTCATTTTAGACTAAAATGCGATTTTAATTTTTGCGATATTGAGAAAAATCCTGTTTAATTCATATAAAAAATTTCAAAATGCGAGTTTGAATTATTGCGATTATAACCCTGTCGCATTTTTCGCAATAATAAAAACATCGCAATAATTTCTGAATTTACAGTATTTTGGAGCAGACTGACAGTTTTTTTTTTCTTTTCTTTTACTTACACAAGCAAGAAAGTCATATTTTTTTTTCTCTTTTCCTGATTTTCTCTACAACTACAAAAAAAAATATACATGTACATAATACATGTAATAACTCTAAAAGAATGTTTAATAAACAGCTGCGCCATGAGCGCATGATACGCTCTTCGATTTTTCAATAGATATAAACCAGTCACCAAAGTTTCATGAAAGCTGCTCAAAGCATTTTTGAGTAATTATCCGAAAACTGGAAAATCCCCCTTCTTTAACATGTTTAATGAATTAAAACCCATAACTCGGAAACGTAAAATTTAAATTTATAAAAATCGAAAGGGAGCTCTAATCAATACACATAAACAATTCACCAAAGTGTCATGAAAACTGTTCAAAGCATTTTTGAGTTATTGTCCAAAAACTGGAAAATCCCCCTTTTGTAATGAATAAAACCCCATAACTCGGAAACATCAAATCCAAAATTTATAAAAATCTTAAGGGATCTCACATCAATAGATATAAGTAATTCACCAAAGTTTCATGAAAACTGTTAAAAGCATTTTTGAGTTATTGTCCGAAAACTGGAAAACCCCCCTTTTTTAATGAATAAAACCCCACAACTCGGAAACGTAAAATCCAAAATTTATAAAAATCAAAAGGGAGCTCACGTAAATAGATATAAACAATTCACCAAAGTTTAATGCAAATTGGTTATAGCATTTTTGAGTTATTGTCCGACATGTTGATGACAGACGGACAATGGTATACCATAATACGTCCCATCCCGTAAACGGCCGTATAAAAACTACTTGTAAGTTGTAGAAGAAATTTTGGAGAAGCATACTGAAATGATCCTGTTCATCATGTCTTTACCCTAAATCGTGCATTGGATACATGTGTATTGATATATATTTTAGCATTTTAGTTTGGGAAAACATGATTTTTTTATAAGGTGTTATTGGCTTTGAAAATGATGAACTAGCTTTCAGTAACTGCTAGTACTCTTAAATCTGCATTTTGAAAAATTTATTACATGTAACATGTGTAAGACAAATACAAGTTACAAGAAAGTCCATATAGTGATTAACAGATAAGATGCAGTGAACATGTACAGTCACTACCAGATGATGTTATTTGTGATGTACAGGTAAGCAGGGTCCAACACTAACTTGCATTACTTTTGTTAATATTAACAAATAAAATGCCACATCATGCATGTCATGCAATCTGAGCACTTTGGTGACATAAAATTGTTTACTGTTATATATGTGTTTTATTTTAGGGGAATTACATGTGCATGTCATGCATGTAGGTTATTCAGCAACTTATTCTCTCCAGAAAAAATTAAAACAAAGTTAAACAAATCAATATTCATTATTCAGTCAGGGGACTTATTGAAATAAGTGATTTTTAAATCACTTATTTAAGTAGCAAATTCGAAGTTTTGTCACAAATTGTGATTTTGTAGTTTTACCAAAATTTTAAATACATAGGTTTAGATAATATCTTTTCATTAGTAAAATTGAAAAAAATGAACTTTTTGCTTCTTTTAAGCAGCAAGGTTTATGCCTTTGCTGCAATCATTTGGCTGCAAATTCTGTTTTAGTTGAAAAAATGCTATAAAAATGGCTTTACATAATGAACTGATACTTTCTTAACAGTTTTTTCCCAGCAGTGGGAGTATTTTTCCTATAAAATTCAAGGTTTCATCTTAAAGATTATGTAATAAAATTCTACTGTTCGCGATCAAAATTTCACTGTTCGGGAGTGTTGAAATTAGTGGGGGTTATTAAAATAATGATACTTAAAGAAGTGATTTTTTGGAAGGAAATTGAGGTATGATACTTAAACAAGTGATTTTTATGTCATTATCCTAGATTTAGTACAAGGTCATCACCTGACATGACCCGGTCATCCTATCAACACAGATGTTGGTTCTGATAACATAATTAGTCCCTGGATCATTGGTATTCTATATTTAAAGCTACAATAAAATTAAATCACTTAGTCTAGATATTGATTTGTACTACTTAAATAGGTGATTATTAAAGAAAGACAACTCTTACTTCTAACCTTTATGGACATAATGATACTTGTAAGTAAGTTCCCTGACTGTTATTATTCAGGATTTTTTTATTTCATCAGTTCTAGAAAGAGTCTTTCAGACTTCAAATGCCAACAATCCTCATGACATCATTTCCAACTTGGCAGGCATCAGTAACAACATATTGAAATTTGAAAAGCATTGGTAAAACAGTTCATACGTTATTGCACAGAAAGAACATAAACTCATTATAAAGTGTAATTTTTTAATGTATCAACACGAGACAAAAAATAGAAACATGTGTGTTTGCCTGTCCCAAGTCAGGAACCTCTAGCTTTTGTTAGTCTTTTGTGTTTTTTTTTAAAATTCGGTTCATTTGTATCATTTGGGGTTTAGTGTGGCATCCATTTTGCTGAACTTCTAAGGTAGTATTATATGTATTATTGAGTAAGGGACAACAAAAGCCCACCTCTGGGAGCGGGATTCTCTCGCTGAGTTGAAGACCCATTAGTGGCTGTGGGCTGTTTTCTACTCTTTGGTTGAGTTGTTGTCTCTGACACATTCCCCAATTCAATTCTCTATTCTATTACGATGTTAACTGTACCCCAAACTGTCCCTAATTTTTGAGAGCTGTCCCTAACTTTTATGACACTGAAAATTGGGTAAATTATATTTTCACCAGTATTATTCTTGACAGCGATGTTCTTTTAGTGCAACCCCTATCTTAATGCTGAAAAACGTCCACAAGTACATATGTACATGTATTGTGAAAAACTGATTAAAAACATATCAGTCTGACAAAAACAACTTTGAGAAAAAAATATTTTTGCAGAACAACCGAACCTATTTATTTTCAGAAGGTTACAGTAAACACACATGTATTTTTTTTTTTTGCCTTAGGATGACAATTCTTGAAACCCTGAGATTAAGGGTTTCCATTCATGTATTTTCACAAATTAGGCGTTGCGAGCATGAACCACTGGCAGAAAGATAAATGAGGCTAGAGTCATAAGGTTTGACCAGGTCATTAGATGACTGTGACATGTCTTGGTGACAGGCAAGGAACTGGCCAGAGGGTATCCGAGCGAAAGACTCAGGGATTGTCCAGTAGTAGATCTGTGAGCTGTTCAGACAGATGAATGGTATGCAGGGGGGATAAAGAAAAGGGGGGAGAGTGCTGTATAACTTGAGATATACATTTGTAAAGGTAGTCTAACTGGTTGAGGTAGGGAAGATCTTCTTTAGCTCCATGTATTTTCACAATAATACCATCCCTAGACCACAGGCAATTTTTTTCTGTCAATGGGGGGTTTACTATCCGCACTTGTACGAAAAATCACAATGACAATAATTATTGACCTTTTTTCAGACCATTGAATTTCTAATTCCTTGACTTTCGGTAAACTTTAGTTTTGTAGGAAGTAAATATAACTGTGCAATCTGATTTGTCAAATTTTTCTGGTTACCTGTTTCATTTTACTAGTTACCAGATCAAAAACTAAACTTTAAACTAAATAGAATAACCATGTTAGAATTCTCTTCAATAAATATACTAGATATCTTTATTAATTTCAGTCTTTGCAAAAGAATAAAGGTTTTATTTTTCAAAGCAATTTGAATTTATTTGTTTAAAATGTATCCAGTCCGAACTGGAAGTCAAGGATCCGAATTAGAAATTCAATGGTCTGGGAAAAGGTTAATAATTATAGTCACAAGTGTGTTATTCTGTTAGGAATCCAGGTCCGTTCGCCCTGGGTCCGTTCGCCCTGGGTCCGTTCGCCATGTGTCCGTTTGCCCTATTTTTTTATTTTATATTGTAGTCTTGTTGTTTATTGTAAATTATTTGAATAAAGTACATGTATGTTCAAATTTGTTGAAAGTTTCTCCGAATATTTGTGTTATAATGCTACTGCCAGATAGATATTTTTCTTTGATTTGCACTGAAATGTACAGGAATACAAGATATTTGATACATGTATATTAACACAACTGTAAATCAAGTTATCACATGATCAGTTTGTGTTTTTTTTTCATACATTTTAACCAATTTCAAAACATGCAAAACAACCATATGCATTAACAGTAATAACAAGATCCAACTTGAACTTAGTCATGTTAGTCCTTTGCATCACGCACCAGTTGTGTCTAACACTATTTTTTTAAAGAGCACTGAATTGAAATATTCTATATAAATAAAATCTAAAAGGACACAATAAAACAGCCATTCACCATTGTTCACTCTACATTTCTACACCATGATTTACTAAACAAAACAAATTTAAGATGAAAGAAGCCAAGTTGTATTACAATTCAAAATCAATGTTTTCACTCATTCCAAGCTGACTAGTTTATTTAAAAAAGTGATTCTAAATAAAATCATATGTAACAATGAAGCCAATTAATGCTCCAAAACAAGCCATTAATTTTTAAATATTTTGGTATCGGGTCCGTTCGCACCCTACACGTTCGCCCCCTGGGTCCGTTCGCACCCTTTTTTTTTTATTCAAAAACCCGATGAATTATAAGATGTTTTTTAAGATGTTTATCTCAAAATAAAGAAAAATTCGACAATTTTTGAATTTTTTAAATGAAATATTGTTTTAAATTGATTTGATGATTAATTATTTATCATGTTTATGATTACTGTTAATTATATATGGTGTTTACACAGCTAAACTTGATGTAAATTCTGCATGTAGTTATATTAGCATGTATTTAACTTGGTATGAGTAAAAACAATTAAGATTCAAAATGTTATTGTTGTTGAGTTTAAAGCGGTTTGGTATCTTAACATTTAAATAATATTCAACACAAAAAACCTTTTTTAGAAAGTCACTTTATTTTGAAACAATGAAAAAAAAAAAAAAAAAACAGCAATACACTAACCAAAACACGATTAAAAAGATATTCAACACAAAAAACGTCACTTTATTTTGCATGTTTTTAAACAATGAAAAAAAAACTTATTTATAGCAATACAATAACCAAAACACGATTAAAAAATTATTCAACACAAAAATCGTTTTTAGAAAGTCACTTCATTTTAAAACAATGAACAAAAAAAATATTTATAGCAATACACTAACCAAAATACGATTGAAAAATTATTTAAGACAAAATCAATAAAAAGGGTGCGAACGTGTAGGGTGCGAACGGACCCGGGGTGTGAACGTGAAAGAGGGCGAACGTGAATGGGCGCGAACGGACCCGGATTCAAATATTTTCATGGGTTTTTTTTCATGACTTTTGAGAATTATATATTTTCTTTAATATTTAACTTATAAATTAAATATCTGAATAAGTTTATAAAACCTTATATAACTAATACCATTAATATTTATTACATGTATGTACATTTATAAAAGTAGGGCGAACGAACACAGGGCGAACGGACCTGACACCTTCTGTTAGAGGGGTATATTCTCAATTTAAGGTATGTGAAACATGTTTAATGCATATGGTAAAGATAAATCATGATCAATTACCAGCAGACTGATGTGTGTTTATTCATGAGAAATGCAAGGGAATGTTAGAAATTATTGGTTGAACCGAAGACTTAGAAAATTTTCTTTAGCTACATTGTAACTTGTGATTTTTCATACAAGTGTGGATATTAAACCCCAGCATTGACAGAAACAAGTGCCTGTGCCCTAGACCCCTCATGAACCTTTGTGTATGTACTTAGGTCCTTAGATGTATTTCTATGGTCCTAATTTAGGCAATTATTGGGATCCTACAAATGTATATCTAAATAATTATTAGAACTGAAGACAGAGGACTCAGGACTATTAGTCTACTGTGTTAAAGTTTTTCACTTGTTTTATAAAATTGAGAATGGACATGATGGAAATGGGGAATATGTCAAAGAGACAACAACCTGACCAAAGAGCAGACAACAGTGAAGGCCACTAATGGGTCTTCACTGCATGCGCGAAAATTACGCACCCGGAGGTGGTCCTCAGCTGGCCCGGTATCGGGTCCGTTCGCGCCCAATACACGTTCGCACCCTACACGTTCGCTCCCCATACGTTCGCTCCCTAGGTCCGTTCGCACCCTACACGTTCGCACCCTATATTTATAGCAATACACTTACCATGCTTACCATTTATTCAACACCAAAATAACGTTGTCAGATTCGCACTTTATTTACTAGAAACAATGAAAAATATTTATAACAATACACTAACCAAAACATGATTAAAAATTATTCAACACTAAAATAAAATACTGGTCGTCAGAATCTCACTTTATTTAAAAACAATGAAAAAAAAATGTTTATAGAAATACATCTAACATGACACAAAAAAAAACCTTGCCAGAATCTCACTTTATTTAGAAACAATGAAAAAATACATATTAATAGCAATACACTTACCAAAACTCGTTTACAAATTATTAAACACAAAACCAATAAAAATTGGGCGCGAACGTGTAGGGTGCGAACGGACTTTGGGTGCGAACGTGTTGGGTGCGAAAGTGAAAGGGGGCGAACGTGATTGGGCGCGAACGGACCCGGATTCAGCTGGCCCCTAAATAAAATTGTGTGCTAGTTCAGTGAAAATGGACGTCACACTTAACTCCAAAACATATAAATGAACTAAAATTAAAAAACATACAAGACTGACAAAGGCCAGAGGCTCCTGACTTGGGACAGGCGCAAAAATGCGGCGGGGTTAAACATGTTTTGTGAGATCTCAACCCTCCCCCTATAGTACCTGTAGTCAATGTAGAAAAAAGAAACACATAGCAATACGCACAGTAAAACTAAGTTTAAAAGAAGTCCGAGTCCGATGTCAGAATAGGTAACAAAAGAAACTAAGCAAAATAGCATTGCATGTTTTGTATTTATACTTGTCACAAACTTTTTACGAAGTTTACATGAAGTTAAATTGTTTACATGGCAAATAAACCAGCATGATTTTCTAATTACAGTTAATACATTAATACCTCAACAGTCTGGATGAAAAACAGATCTACCGGCTTCAGTAATTGAGAAAATACTCAAAAATTCTTTCAGAAACATTTTTCGTGGGGAAAAAAAAACCGGAAGTAAATGACGTAACAGTAAAGTGAAGATTATGATATTCATCTAACACCACCTACAAAACCTGTAACTCAATTTTCCGTTTGAATCAGCCACAGCTAGCTAAATCCAGTTTCTTCTATTTTCCTTCATTAATAGTGAAAACAAACATACTGTATTCTGTATCCAATGAAATTCTGCCAATATAGGCACACCTCCGTATTTGGAGTAAAACAATAAACAAGAGGCTCTCAAGAGCCTGAATCGCTCACCTGTAATTTTTTGCTTAAATCTTTCATCGATGATTATTTTTGCTTTTTTTTCAATATATATTAATGAGTGGCTTAAAATGCCATTTAAATGTTATTTGTAATCTGTCTTATTTTCTTCAAAAGCCAAAAAATGCATTTTAACCCTATGTTCCATTTTAGCCATAGTGACTATGTTTCTTGACGTACAAGGAAATAAAATACAAGATACTCTGAAACTCTTTCAGCCCATTTTTGGCTGAATTTGATTCAGCAGTTTCAAAGGAGAAGACTTTTTAAAGTAAGCAAACTAGATTAGATAAACAAATTGTGAAAAATTGTCTTTAAAGGACAATAACTCCTTAAGGGGTCAATTGACAATTTTGGTCATAAAACTTATTTGTAGATCTTACTTTGCTGAACATTTTTGCTGTTTACAGTTTATCTTTATCTATAATAATATTCAAGATAATAACCGAAAACTGCAAAATTTCCTTAAAATCATCAATTCAGGGGTAATAACCTTAAAATCAGATACCCGATTTGGCTGATAATTTCAGGGCAGGTAGACCTTGACATAATGAATACTTTAACTTCTTGTCTAATTTGCTGTAAATGCTTTAGTTTTTGAGATATGTCAAAAACTGCATTTTACCCTATGTTCTATTTTTAGCCATGGGGGCCATGTTTTCTGAGGAAACAGAAAATAAAACACAAACTTTAATATGAGGAAGGCGCTACCTTGAATGCCAGCTTACCAAGACTATGTCCTACATATTGATTGATTGCTGGTTTGCTTAACGTCCAGTGGCAAATATTTCATGCATGTCAGGACGAATGTCCTACATATAGTTTTTGTCTAAAATAAAATAATAAGTTCAGATGGAAAATGTTAAGGGAACGATCATTGAACTTCAAAAGGCAGGATGGAGTAAGATTTTTTTTTCTTTAAAAATATTCTGATTCCCAAATTGATGAAAAACAAATATTCTAATCAAGCAGAGGACAAAAAAGTTTCTGAATCCAGATTATCCCCATACCTTCTAGTGTTAATTTTTTACCAAATAATTTTGATTGATAGCGTTGAAGCCTTTTGCGTGAAAATAAATCTTAAATCAAACAAAAAACCATTCCCCCACCCCCCGACCTTTTGAAGCTAAATGGTTGCACCCTTATTGTCCATATTTTTTTCTGCTGAAAATAAATTTATTGGTGACTTATCTAAATGACAATGCTTAAATTCATTATCTTGTGCCATTTTCAAATCCATTTTTCTTTCTTTGCAAATTTTACAAAATTTAAAACAATAAGACATTTGTTTAATTTCAAAACTATGAATACTGTTATACAATTCATAACTTTATTAAATTATTTTTTTGTTGATTTTCATGAAAAGGTGGAGGATTTGGAATATCTTTTTCATCAATATCTAAAAGTTGTAGCTGTTTTATTTTGTTTAGTATTGCAAACAACGCTTTCTGTTTGTTGAATTATTTTTACTTTCTAAATTAGCTGGATGTTCATATTGTGTTCCCAGTTTCCTGCATCTCATATATATGTGATCAGCAAGAGGATCATTCTGATTGTTAAAAGAAGAGTTTGAATTTACAGTGAGCCTGTTTAGAATAATGTTTTGATCAGGTTTTTCATTTTGCACTATTAGCATAAAGAACCATAAATAGGATTGTTAAGTTGATAATTTAAAGATTTTGCTATTTTCTAGGATGCTATTTAAAATTTGAGGGGAGAACACTGCTCAGCAGTATAAATGTATTCCTGATCATCTTCTGTTTGTGGGTTTCTACATCAATTTCATGTACTAATTCAGAGTCAGTTTTATGTCATTTTTGCATTTTGTTTTAGTAGCTTACTTTTCAAGTTTTTATACGACGGCAAAATAAAATTCAGAATGGAAATGGGGAATATGTCAAAAATTTGCTTTCGAGTAATGCAATCATGTCGCTTTTGTTGTCCGAAGACACATTTGGTTTCCAGACAATAACTTTAGTTTATGTAAATGGATCTCTATGACAATGTATGAAATTGTACCAGAAGGTTCAACTTCAATACACAAAAGGAAGGTTAGAATTGATTTTGGGGGTTATCATATGGTACAAACAGTTTACAAAAAATGGTTTAGGAGTCAGTGGTCAAAAACAACATTTTTGGGTTGTTTTTTTCATGATTTTTGGGGTTTTTCTCCAAATATTTACCATTTTTACATTGATTATTTCTCATTTATATATAAATGCAACAAATACTGATATGGCAGGAGATACACAGGAAACAGGGTGTGTAAATTATTTTATCGGTAATTTGTGCATTTTTCCTTTGATGTGTACTTCTTGATAATGTCGAAGTCGGTATCAGTGAACTGGTCATGATAAAGAAAATATATTGGGTCAGTTCGCAATTGACATGCGCGCATGCACCGCAAAAGGATCTTCTTTCCCTTTAATTCACAAAATTGCACATGATTGATTTTTTCGCAGAAACGCACAAGTTATTTCATGAACGAAACACTTGTCATTGTTTGAAACTTTCAGTAATAACAAGTTAGTTTAGCCTTTTTGAACGATTCACTGATTGTGTGAAAATTTGAACAGAAAATGTACGATAAACCTGATAAAATTGCGTTATCTGCAGAATTATTGATAGCTTTCCTTACTATCCACAAGGACATATAACTAACATATCGTCCATGCTATTCCGATCTGAGTTTTTATTCATACATAGTCTGGCATGGCTGGTGCTGTTCCAAGTTGTTTTCTTTCTCTGCATGTTTCTTGAGAAGTATTTGTTTGACCTGGTCAGTCACTATAAAGTGTTACAATTCATATTTAGACGCAACACATAAATAGTGACCAAAAAGGTACCGCTTTCACATGTATGACATGAGAGAATCTAGAAAAAAAATTAAATGTACACATAATTTTTCAACATTTTTGTGGGACTATCATATAAAATTAAGGAGATATGTAGTTGGAGACTGCTGCTGAATAGAAATGTTCGGCCTACCTGATACCTGTTTTCAAATTAGTCCATATTAAAGTTTGAAGGGTCCAAAATTACAATCTCATTAAAATCCGATGTTCTGATACGCTACACTCCATCAGAACATCGGATTTTAATGAGATTGCCAAAATTAACATAAATTATGTTTGATTTCAACTGACATAAAATTTTTGGTGTTTTTTATATGCTAAATCTACATCTGCGGTTGTATTAGGCTGTGCTTGGCGAAGCATTTTATTGCTTTTTTGTTTGTACAATATTTTATTTTGGTCATGAAAATTAACTTGAAGTTGTGAAGTTGCTTACATTTTTAAAAGATGATAATTAGATAACTTCGCATGGTGACAACACAGACGTTTTCGTAGATTTACTTTTTCCCAGGAATGCTTCATCTGTTGATATATTCTCATTGTGAACAATTTGTGTATATATATGAATATAGTAACCGATGTTGAAAGACATGTATAATGTCAAATCATAACAATACAAATTGTTTAGTCTCAAAGAAAACTTCCGCAGTTATTTTCATACGACCGCAAACAAATTTTGCGGTCGTATATTGGTATGAAGTTGGCGTCGTCGTCGTCGTCCGAAGACACATTGGTTTTCGCACTCTAACTTTAGTTTAAGTGAATAGATCTTTATGAAATTTTACCATAAGATTTAATACCACAAAAGGAAGGTGGGGATTGATTTTGGGGGTTATGGTACCAACAGTTAAGGAATTAGGGGCCAAAAAGGGGCAAAAAATAAGCAGTTTTGTAAATTCCAGACATAACTTGTGTGTTAGTGTATGGATCTCTCTGACATTGTACCACAAGGTTCCATATCACAAAGGGAATGCTGGGATTGATTTTGGGGGTAATTGCCTCCAAATTATAGGAATTAGGGGCCAAAAAGGGGCAAAAAACAAGCATTTTTCTAGTTTCATGACAATAACTTGTGTGTAAGTATATGGATCTCTCTGACATTGTACCACAAGGTTCCATATCACAAAGGGAATGCTGGGATTGATTTTGGGGGTAACTGCCTCTAAATTTTAGGAATTAGGGGCCAAAAAGGGGCAAAAAACAAGCAGTTTTCTAGTTTCATGACAATAACTTGTGTGTAAGTGTATTGATCTTTTTGAAATTGTACTGCAAGGTTCCATATCACAAAGGGAAAGCTGGAATTGAGTTTGGGGGAAATTGCCCTAAACGTTTAGGAATAAGGGGCCAAAAAGGGGCCAACAATAAGCATTTTTCTAGTTTACAGACAATAACTTGTGTTCTAGTGTATGGATCTCCCTGAAATTGTACTGCAAGGTACCATACCACAAAGGGAAGGCTGGGATTGAGTTTGGGGGTGATGAATCATAAGGGGGTTCAAAAAATTTGGGGGGGGGGGGATTTTTTTTTCCTTTTTTTTTCTTTTAGGTTTTCCATTTTAAATTGGTTATTTCTGATTTATATATAAAAGCAAATAATAATGATATGGTTTGAATAGGTAAATTAAAATTTTTTAAGTTCTTAGACCACATTCATTCTGTGTCAGAAATCTATGCTGTGTCAAATATTTAATTACAATCCAAATTCAGTGCTGTATCAAGCTTGAATGTTGTATCCATACTTGCCCCAACTGTTCAGGGTTCGACCTCTGCGGTCGTATCAAGCTGCGCCCCAGCGGAGCATTTTATTGTTGAATAGGTGCAAATTGGGAACTGTGACGTTATAGTCATAAGTGTTTATTGCTTTAATAGGTTGAAATGTGCACCTGATAAAAGTATTCAGTAGAGGGAAAATGTTTTGATC